AGATTGCTAACTATTTTTTTATCATAAACTTATCATGTGATACTTAAATATGAACAAAAAATAATTTGGATAATTCTTAACCAAATTTCTATTCAAATTTTTGTTAAATAAATACCTAAATTACATAGTTTTGATCATAGATTATCTAAATTTTGGTCAAAAGTTACCCATATTACACATTTTTTGTTAAGAGCTACCCAAATTTTGTTTAACAACTACCAAAATTATTTTTTGTCTATATTTAGGTATTACATGACAAATTTATGATAAAAATCGTTAGTAATTTGCACGTTGTCTACTTAAAGGACCATATAAAAACATATTCAATATTTTAGAGACCAAAATGATGCAGTTGAAATATTAGGGACAAAAATGAGACAAACTCCATATTTTGAGGACCTCTAATGCAATTAACCCAAAAAATTAATATAAACTAACTAGAATCTTACCTCCAATTTCTCTTTTAGTTTTGGTTTTGATAAATTTTAGTTTGTAGCCAATTCCATCGGTTTGAAATCGTTTTGTGGCTTTTTCTTCCCTTAATCTTAAATTTTTTGTCATTTGGGGTTTTCTTGAAAGCTGATGGTGATGGATTTCAATTTGGAACCCCCTTTAGAGCCCAAAATCCTTTGGGCGTACATCAAGTGACTCAAGTGTTTGATCCAAATAGCATTCAAGGGGTTCAAGCTGGACCACGTCAGTTCCATAGAAGCCCGAGACAAACTAGCTCAAAATAGGTGATAGTTCGACAGTGACAAGCCCAATATAGGTACCAGCTTGAGGAATGAGAGCATGACACTAGACCAGTTAGCAAAAGTTACAACATAACACGTGGACAAGAGACAATGGGACAATATCTGACAATCCTGGTGGAGGAAAACCTACCTCTAGTGGAGATAACTCACATTCTAGTCAAAGTGTAGTAGGTGCAGAAAAGCATCAGGGATGACAGCTCCAGTAACAAGACAAACATAGAGGAAACCAAAGAATCAGCTCAAAAAGAATCACCACGAAACCCTAACAAACTGGATGTATAAATAGCTAATGATATCATGTAGATATAGAGAGAGAAATATCACCCAACAGTAACCTAGGTAATATTCTGTAAAAGGCTTACAGTCAAATACCTTATAACAATAATCTTTTTCCCAAGCAATACATTTTCCAAGGAACAAGAGCTTTCCTTGAAGTAGACGTGAACCACTCATCCTGTTGTCTTCGTATTACATTTAACACTAAGCACACTCTCTATCATATACATATATTCACACGTTCTTTATGGCACATCTCAAACTGCTATGTAGTTAGTCGATTTTGAGCACCATCAGAAGTCATTTCATTTTTCAGTGACTGTCCCTGTCTATGAAACACGGATATGGATACGGGATAGGAGTATGATACGATATAGATACGGCGATACGACAAAGTCTAAAAATGTAAGATACATGTACGACTAAAATACGGTTATAATAAAATATATTTAATATTTTTATTATTTTTAATTATTTTAATACTTATATATTTTGGTAGTTCTTTNCGGAAGCTTGCTCTTTGACCAATTTTTCTGCTCAAGAACATATCAATAACACAATTCATCAAATAAAACACCTTTTTATGCCTATATCTATAACAAATCCAAAAACTTCTGACAAAAACCTGCAGTGAGCTTCAAATTGGCAAAGCTTCCAAATGAAGCCGAATCCGAGGATACGCGCGAAGAGATTGATATAGTTTTCGCAGATCCTGATAAGGACTTGAAATGATCCAGGCTCTTCAAGCCTTGTAGGCCCATTAGCTTGTTCATTTTCAAATCACAAAGGAGAAAACACTCGAAATTCGTACTTGGAGCTCTAGGTATCAATATAACTTCGAATCTCACAGTTTTTAGTGAATCAGTTGAAATGTAAAGGTGTAAACACTAGAAATCAGATTTTCGAAGCTCTCAACATCAGAAAAATCTTCCAAATTCAATGTTCAAGGTGATCAATTTTGATTTCCAATCTCTCACCAATCATGCCTTCGACTCTTCAAGATTGGGAATTCTCAGTTAAAATTCAACGAATAAATCCCTAGAAATTGGTTTTCGAGGATCTAGACTCCAAGAGATCCGAAGCTTTTAGGATTTGGAACTGAGAAATCTAAGAGATTTGACAGAAAACCCTAGAAATGAGTTGCTGTAGCGTTCTCTCTCAGGAGGTCTCTAAAAGTCGAGAGAACGGAGTGTTCAAACGACTTTAGGCGCCAAGTAATGCAATATTTATAGCCGTCTTCATTTGAGGCGGTTGAACAGTTGGGAAGGCTCAGATCACCTGCTCCACCTGTAGACGGCACAGATGAAGAGGCACACGTGGATGTCTAGTAGGGGTTGATTTCCTTGGGTTAATTATAATTTATCCCCTCCAACTATCTCTTGTTGCAATCAGCTCCTCATGATTTCAAATCTTACAATTTATCCCCTCCAAGTTTCAAGCAGACTAAAATAACTGACAGTAATAGTTGGAATATGAAAGTACCATTACACCTTCTATCTTGTACATTACTTTTCATATTTTTTTTCTTGATATACTAATTATATCTCTAAAAAATGAGGAAATAGAGAAGTCAAAAAATTTAAAAAAAAATAAAAACATTTGTTCAGCCCAATACCAACAAACTGCACAACAACATATTCGCCTTTACCCCCATCTCTACCCAACACCACAGTGCATGCACACATAGACACTCTTTTGCAAGGGTAATTTTATCTTTTTAATAAAGTAGAGATTACGTGAATTTCTCATGTCTAACTTACGTCACTTTTTATAATCCAAAATTAACTATTGGAGTTAATTACAAAATATTCAAAGTTAAGGGGGCTATTTATTTAAATTGAAACCCGAATGGGTGAATGATAAATTACCCAAAATTAAAGGGAATATTTCGTAATTAACCCTAATTTTTTTTTATCCAAATGTAACTGCTGGTTGACATTACTTTTTCTCAATCTGAGATGTGATCCCTCTGTTATAATTTTTTTTCTACTTTCTTTCTTGTAAATAACCAGCTGTAGATTCAAACGGTGCATAATCATATTATATATATGTTAATTCTTTACTCATTAATTATGAATCATTTGCCAAAAAAAAAGAAAGAAAGATGTATTAGAGAAGATATAGATCTTCTCAATCTTCTTGTAATTTTCCTTGAGAGTGGGTCATTAATCATGTAGGCTGTAGAGGAATAAGAAAAGATGTATGAGCCTATCTGTCGACAATAAGAAAGAGGTGGATCCATCCTCCATCCTGAATAAGGAAAACTCCTCTTCTTGTTTACTTTCTTGTTTTTTTTTTTTTTTAAGGTAAAGGAAGTTCACAACTGAAAGTTTCTGATAGGTGCAAATCTCTTCTGCGAAAATTAGGATTAATTATATTAGAGGTCCCTAAAGTATGAGATTTATTTTATTTTAGTCTCTAATGTTTCAATTGATTTATTTTGGTCCCTGAAGTATCTAATATATTTCTATATAGTCCCTCAAGCAAAGAGTGTCCAGATTGCTAACTATTTTTTTATCATAAACTTATCATGTGATACTTAAATATGAACAAAAAATAATTTGGATAATTCTTAACCAAATTTCTATTCAAATTTTTGTTAAATAAATACCTAAATTACATAGTTTTGATCATAGATTATCTAAATTTTGGTCAAAAGTTACCCATATTACACATTTTTTGTTAAGAGCTACCCAAATTTTGTTTAACAACTACCAAAATTATTTTTTGTCTATATTTAGGTATTACATGACAAATTTATGATAAAAATCGTTAGTAATTTGCACGTTGTCTACTTGAAGGGCCATATAAAAACATATTCAATATTTTAGAGACCAAAATGATGCAGTTGAAATATTAGGGACAAAAATGGACAAACTCCATATTTTGAGGACCTCTAATGCAATTAACCCAAAAAATTAAAATAAACTAACTAGAATCTTACCTCCAATTTCTCTTTTAGTGTTGGTTTTGATAAATTTTAGTTTGTAGCCAATTCCATCGGTTTGAAATCGTTTTGTGGCTTTTTCTTCCCTTAATCTTAAATTTTTTGTCATTTGGGGTTTTCTTGAAAGCTGATGGTGATGGATTTCAATTTGGAACCCCCTTTAGAGCCCAAAATCCTTTGGGCGTACATCAAGTGACTCAAGTGTTTGATCCAAATAGCATTCAAGGGGTTCAAGCTGGACCGCGTCAGTTCCATAGAAGCCCGAGACAAACTAGCTCAAAATAGGTGATAGTTCGACAGTGACAAGCCCAATATAGGTACCAGCTTGAGGAATGAGAGCATGACACTAGACCAGTTAGCAAAAGTTACAGCATAACACGTGGACAAGAGACAATGGGACAATACCTGACAATCCTGGTGGAGG